TCTTTCTGGCAGGAAGGCAGGGTAATGGGTGTGAGGGGAAGAATGCTGTCATATAGTATATGATAATGTAAAAGAGTGGTATTTAAGGGTTTCGGTTTTTATGTACGGAGGTGCATTTAAAATTAGTTTCTGTTTTGTTATAATACAGGCCTGAATTCAGCTAGTAATGACCTCAATAGTGCCAGTTTTAATGTAATCCTTGGTTGCTGACTGCTGTTCCAAGAATAAAAATTTAAGCCAAAAGATTTAATGAAATCCTTTGGGATTAGTGCTCACTGGGCTGGGGAAATTGCATATCAACCTTTTCTCTGTAATCTAACCGTATGACTTGGTATTTGAATAGGAGGGTATCCAAGAGAGACAACTCTGAGTTCATCAATAATTTACATTTTTGTAAGTTACAAACTTGGTATTTGGGATTCTGTTGCCATAGCAATCCATCTGGGCCTGAAGGGATAGTGTTCTAAGTGGTGGTTGTATAGGGATTCACAGTGTGTGCTTTAAATCCCTTCCAAACTAATCCTCAGATCTATTTTGTGACTTATTTGAGGTTACTCACAGTAAAAAGTTTATGCTGACCGAATTAAGCCCATAAAATATTAGGCTGTGCATATCATCAAGGACTGTAAAGTTCCTAATATACGGCAATTTCTGTTTCAATATGTGAAGCAATTAATAAATGCCCACAACTCCATTTTTTTAAAATACATTTAAATTTTTGTACATTATGCAACTAGAAATCATCCACACTCTGTACTAGTTATTAGCTAATTTGAACTTCATAATTGAATGCTAGCCTCATTTTCCCAGATGTCAGTTCTGTTGTTTTACAGGGTACCTGTCTATTCATAACACTTTATAACTTCCACTTTCAATTAATCTGATTTTCTCTCATATCACAGAATCATGGCATGGTTTGGCTTGAAAAGGACATTAAGATCATCTAATTATAGCCCCCCTGCCATGGGCAGGGACGTCTCATACTAGACCATGTCGTCCAAGGCTTTATCTAACTTGGTCTTGAACATTACCAGAGCATTTACCACTTCTTTGGCCAACCTGTTCCAGTGACTCACCACCCTCACAGTAAAGAGCTTCTTCCTTTTATCTAACCTGAACTCCCTCTGTTTAAGTTTAAACCAATTACCCCTTGTTCTGTCCCTCCAGTCCTTGTAGACCCCCTTCAGATATTGAAAGGCTGCTTTGAGGTCTTCAAGCATCCTTCTCTTTTCTAAAGCAGAGCATAAGCTCTGCAGTTTCTATTTTCATTTCTAACACTACTGGAGTTGGGGTTTGAGGCAGAGCTGCTAAATTCAGCTGCTTCTTTTCTGAAGTTTGGTTTATATTTTCTTATTTTGCCACCCAAAGTTATTATTCAAAACCTCCTATATAGGCCACATAAATACATGTTCTCAGGTTTGAAAGACGATCAATAAAGTCCTCAGCAAACCAGCAAACCTAGGCTAAGTTTCAGCTCTGTCAAAACCAAAGCCCTTTGAAACTGATTTCTAGAGCTTTTAGTTAACAAAAACATTGTCCACTTGTGGTCCCAAACTGTCACTAAACCATAATGACAATGTATTACCAGCTCATTATTATTCCAAAGTAAAAAGATTTGGTTTTCAGAATTATTCCTCAGTGTTTGAAAAGAGAAATACTCAAATAGCAGCCATATGCTCCACTAATGAGTGTTTAGCCCATGATCCTAAACAGACAAAAATTGTTTCCTCATGGAGCTTGTGGAAGATCACACAGTTCTTTCTGGCTGTAAAATTAGTAATAGACTAAAGCTACTGCAGATGGCCTAAAAGATCTTGAGAAATCTTTAATTACCATGCAGCTTCCCTTTTGTCTTCTCCATTGCAGTCCACAATGAATAGTGAAGTTTGTAATAGAAAGGGCTTATTTTGGCCATGATTCTGTGATGCTAAAAATGTTCTTTGTCACCTGTAATAAATGTAGATCTACTCTATGTTAAACAAGAGTTTCCTGAGAAAAATGGCAAAGAATCCCTTCCTTGCAGCGGAGTAGGGTTTTGTTTCATGAGCAAAGATATGGATGTATATTCTTAAATTCAGTGTAGTAGACTGCACTTTGTTTATTTTAGAGGTCCAGTTCTTCTACCCCAGCTTAATGGGACTGTTTTCATAACTAGTTACCAGTAAAGGTGACTTAGAATTAACTAAAAAATGCTTCGTTTTGATTGCTTTTGCATGTCCGTATGACTAACTGAAGTTCAAGTTGATCATTTACATGATTACTTACCCTAAAATTACATTCCCTAAAGTATCTTCTGTATATACCATTTGTTAAATATTGATTATGCTTCAAAGGGATATTACAAGATGTATCCAGGCATATCAAAACGTGTTTCTGTTGGTATTTCCAATGGCTTCATTAGGAGTAGTCTTCCTTGCAAATATTACTGAAATGAAAACGGATCTTTGGAAGATACTAGTGGTATGACAGATGCTATTTGTAGCTCTGCAAATATGGTTGTCACTGCAGGGGATCTCCTGCACTGAAGACCCAGAGGAGTCCGTAACCAAGGGTTAATGAATTAATTTTCCAACACATCTCATAAAAAATAGCCTGTGTTTAATAGTAAGTGATAGAAACATAGTTTAATTTCTCTGGTCATTTTTTGATCTTTCTCTAGAAATGCAAATCCTTCCTGCTTATTTCTCTTTATATATTTTTAGCTCTGCAGATCCTTGAAAAGAGTGCTGCTATTCATTCTCCTTGATAACTGTTAATTTTTATAGATTGGGTTTTACTTATTTATACCAGATCTGCATTATGCTTTTCATATGTTTTAGAAATTCCATCTGTCAACTTCAAGGGAGCAGGCGGGCTGACTCTGCACTTAATGAAACACCACACTTATTCATGGTTTCACTTACATTTGTTTCTCTAGCACATAACCTGTATTTTTGTTCAGTTATTCCCAATTAATACTCAAGTAAACATCTGTCTTTTCCATCCTCTCCTCTCCTTTCCTCTCCTCTCCCCTTATCTCCTCCCTCTCCCCTTTCCTCCTTTTCCCTCCCCTCCCTTCTCTTCCGTTTTTTTCTCTCTTTCAGCAGAAGGAAATAGTTAAATCTTCTGAAAGGCTCAGTAATAATTTGACACAGCTTGACACAGCTTAGAGAGACAGGGAAAGATTGAGACAGTGTACCACAGAGCAGGTGTGACTCTTGTTTATTTCTCTAAGGCACTTGCAGTTAGCTACCTCTACTCAAATGCAAGATGTACACAGAGAGCTGAACCAAAACCCTGGCTCTCAACTGCAGGAGAATGTTGGGATTAGAGCTTTAATTGAAACCTGCCTCTGAGTATATCTGAATTTCAGATCCTTCAGTTTGGGAAGGCTTGAATGAGAGGGGGAGGCAAAGTTGTGGTTGAACCAATTCAAGAGGTATTTGAGTACAGGAGCTGAGATTAGGTCTGTCATAACCTGTACCAGGATACTGATACAGCTAGTAAGGAACACTAAGCTATGTAGGGCCTGTTAAGACTAATGTCAGATGTATTACAAGCTCTGGGATAGAAATTAGTTGATCCCACAGCTCTGTTTTACACCAGCATCTGAATTATTCTAAACCTTTTGGAATTAGGGTTTCATGTATCATCCATCTAGCTTTGCATTGGTCAGGTGCTCCAGAACCCCTCACCAATGTCTAGGACATAACAAAATAGGCTCTAAGAAGACTTCCAAAAAGTTTAAAACTTAATAACAACATAATATTGTATGCTTAGGACACATAGACTATGGAGCCCTCAGCTCCATAGCTTTGTTTACCTGATGGGTTTGTTCAGTAGAGTGACATGCCAAGTGAGTGATGTCTGGGATATCATAAGTATCGACAGAACTATACAGAAAGCAATATGATTTTTTTCTCCAAAGAAGGGAAATTTTGATTTTTTTAAATCAGTTATGTTCTGAATCCTTTATTATTTGGGTCTTGAAGGGTGGTTAATTTAGAGTGAGATGCTGAATGGAACAGTGATTGCCTGTTTTAAAGACTACAGTATGGTTTGATGTGATGTAGTTTGACAGTTTTAGGTAACTGCAGTTTCATGTTCCTATGCAAAAATGGATATAAAATTAAAAATGCATTTACCTGTCTTGGTAGCTATACATTTGGCTCTCTTTTTCAACTGTGTCAGAATTGGTCATCTTCCCACTTAAGTGCCTTCACAGTTTGAGCCTGCCTACTATCATGTTGGTGTTGGCCTTACTGCCCATGAGTCCCAGTTTTCTTCCTTCTTTCATGCAACCTTTATTCATGAAAATTGTTAATAGCAAAAAAAAAAAAAAAAATACAAAGCTGGCATGCTGTTTTCCTTCAAATCCTGCCTTAAACCTTACCTTCGTTGTGATGCCTGTGAACTGCCCAAGAAAGGCTAAGCAGCTGGTGTGCTGTGATCAGTGCTTCTTATGCTAATTGTCTGCATGAAACTGTGGGAGTGAGGAGTCGAACGCCCCTCTGCAGCGGGTTCCACTCTCCTCCAGAAGCAGTATAGAGAGGTTGTGGCTGTTGTTGGATGTACACATTATTTCTTCCTTAACACCTCAGTGTAATGAGGTAATCCAGCCAAGATACAGTACAGCATGAGAATTTAAATTTGACCAGAGGATTGCCAACCTCACAGGTGTGAAAGCCTGCCACCTTCCCTGAATGGGGAAGAGCTGCAGGTGCCCAGATGCAGTTCAGATGCCCAGATTTTGCTGTGAGGTTTCAAAAGAGATTTGTCCCCTGAGTCTGTGGCTTTCCTATCTCTGCTGCTATTGTAATACCTAGGACTGGAAACTTTGCTTTTTCAGGAAAAGGAGCAATACAGATTTTCTCCTCTGGACACTTTCACAAAAAACTGAGGCTTTAAATCTTGGAGGAAACCAAAACTAAATGTGAAATTGTCAAGCTTGTTTGGCATAAGTGAAATTAGGCAGTTACTTTTTTATAGATGATAAATTCATGTATTTGTTTTTCTTACAGAAACCTGGAGTCCTGAATAAACAGAGAGAAGAGAGTTAATCACACACTCTGTATTGTGAACAGTAAGTGACCAGATTAGAAACTCTGAAACCAAACACTCTTTGTACTTCCATTTCTTTTTTGTTTGTTTGGGTTGGTGTTTTTTTTTTTTTTGTTCACAGTTCTTTTAACACACATAATAAATCAGTGCATTGAGCATTTCTGCCTCTTATCCAACTCACTTTCATTTAACAGGGCTAGACTTTTATTAATCCTATAATCATTTTAGGTAAGAGGCACAGATAATCCACACTGTGTGTCTTCAGCACTGCCCGTACTGAGAATATTTTTCTTCTCAGTTAAAGTGAATCTTAATACTAGAATGTACCAAGCTAAAACCAATATTGCTGTTACTATTATCACATTTGTTCACACCTGAGATTTTGCAGAAAAACAGGCTTATCAGTGTAATCAAATATTGTTGGGTCAGCACACAAATAAGAGATTTTTATCGGTTCGTATTAACCACTTAATCACTAGCTAATTGTTATGAACTACCCTGGTCATAGCTGTGCTGTTCACTGCACAGTATCTTCAATCACAGTGCACACCAGGAGATTAAGACTACTCACTGAGACAAGAAAATGAGCCATGGTTCTGTTGTGGATGATATTATTTCTGTCGTCCTTTGAAAGAAATCTCAGATTGCTGCTTAAGTACCAGTTGTGATACAGTGCAGAGCAGACACTGCTTTTATTGCCAATCCTAAGCCATATGCCCTGGGAAACATAACAGGTCATATGGGTGTACTGCATTGCTGGGTATTAAAAGGTAGCAGTATAGTTGGAGAACCAAAACAGGTGAATGTATGTGAAGGCATTTCTATTAACAGTTTGAACAAAACAGTTCATCTGTGCTAGGTGTTAATAGAGCTTGCCTTTTCGTGGGAGAAGACTGTGGACAGTAAGTAATGTACAGAGAATGTGTGCTATTCAGCACCATTCTGCTTCTAGAATGTGCATTTTACAGTATGTAATGCAGAACTGAAGGAATTTTATTGACACATAGGAAATCTCTCTTCATGTAGCTAAACCTGTGTATGGAACAGACTAGTTTTGATAAAAATAAATCTTGAATATTTTTTTGCAAACAGCAAAAATAAAACTTTGGTGGAAAAGAATATGTATAAACCTCTTAGAATCTTCCCGATCTTTGGCAAAGTTTGAGCTTGCTGTTTCTAGTACCAAATAGGCAGTCTGCAGACCAAGAGCATTGCTGGTGTTGTTGGGTAATAATGCATAGAATAATACCATATGCCTGTAACTAAGGAATTTGTGAAGGGTTGCAGCATAGTGTAACCGGGGTCAGCTCTTGCAATTTTTATTTGACATGTGAAAAGATATGGTGGAACTTTTAGGAGTTATTTAACACATGGGATACCTTCAACTAAATCAGTTATGCTTTTCCCCCAGACCTTATGTTTTAGCAGCAGATGACTGATAGTTACATGCATAAATATTAACAATTTCATGCAATTTGTATAACTCAACTACTGTATGTATACAAAAAACAGTAGTTGTTGTAGACCTGCTTGTAGAAAGTAGATTTCAGTACTGCAGACACTCCAAAACTTTCTCCTCACTTGTATTCCTGTGTCAAGTGCCCAGAACTAACAGGCAGCTGTTTCAGAATAGCATGGATTTATTTGTGTATAGTGAGAAAAAATTAATCAACTTATATTGGTACTCCATCACATAAAATTTTTCTCTCCCTTGCTGGCAGAATAGGTTGACAGAACCTTTTCATAGTATCCATCAGTTAATTTTATCAGTCATGCTATTATGATTATAAACTACAAATGATCTAACAATGAATATATAATTACAGAAATGAAACTGTACAGTAGTTATTTAACATTAACAATGTGTAATTTATTTAATACTCTCTTTGGAATATACATGAGAAATTAGAATAATAAGATTGCATTTATCTCTCATCTGTCATCAGTGAGGAGCAGCTTGATCAGGCTATACATTCAACCATTTAGGGAAGTTCATGTAGGCTACCTCTGGGGCTGGTTAAAACACCCATGTGAAGTGTATGTTATTCATATGCTAAGCAACAAGTCATTCTTCTGACACTTTGGATCTTTGCTTTAGAATACTTTTTTTCTCCCAACCTTAATTAAAACCTAATAACACCTAGTGCTGAGAGGTAAAAAATACTGGATTCCAGATACAGGAAGAAGATAAAATTAATATTGTTCTTATTAAGAACAGAATAAAATGAAAGTCATAACATGTGCTGTATTTTGTGGGGTTCAGGTGTTCTCATCTCAGGTTTAAATAGAAGGGCCTGTATCATTTGTTTTTGATATTGCAAAAGGTTGATGTCATCTTTTGTGGAGGAGGAAAAGAATCTTGCAACATGTGTTCCAAAAAAGGTGCCCATTGACCTCCATATAGTCATCAGCAATCAGATTTCACTGCCACATGCTGTGTTTTATCAGATAATCGACATAACTGGTGGCTGCTGGTTAATAACAGTTTTTTCATTTTTGTTTAATAAAGGCAAGTGGCATAAATTAGGGTGCTGCACAAACGAAGCACTTACACAGGAGGATGGTGGCCAGACTGTGTTCTGTGAGCAGACAGAGGAAGCCTGCCCTACTGAAAATCATTGTATGGGCAGTTTGACTCCATTATATGTAAGAGGACTAAATTCATGCACATGAGCACACAATGTTAACATTGTTTAATATCTATTTCAAAAGATACCATGGTTTATATTTTGCTATTTACTATAGTATATCTAGAGGTGTGTAAAGTACCAGAAATGAAGTAGCTACATGGAGGGTTCCTTGGTTTGGAAGAGACAGTTTTGTAAAAGTTGATTTTATGAGCCTTCAAGAAGAAATGACCCTGCGGTTTCTGAATGTTCACTGCTAATAACAGTAATCTTCCTTTGCATTACGATTTTAATCTTTCATTGCAATATAGTAATCGAGAAGCAGCATGGAAGTGCCCTCATTCCCTGTGCTCCTAGGTTTTGTCATTGCCCATTAAAATTCATGTGCGTGTACTGCAGGCTTGCATAAAATAGTTCATTTGAGTGTTCACACTACCTGAATTCTTTAATGAGGTCTTCCCCTAAATTAGTTTCACTTTTTTTCACCTAAATTAGTTTATTTTTTCTTCCTGGGTGGAAGCATAAATTTATAGTGAATTATATGGCAATACTGGCATACTGCTGTATTTTGGCTGTTTGGTTATCATGTTGAGACTATTCAGAGTAGTATATTCTCTGTGACTCATATGCTTACAGAATTCTGTGCCTCAAAGCCTCATTTTTCTTTTTTTTTTTTTTTTAATCGATCTTGTATTACAGGCACAGCTTTGCATTTTTAAATGTGAGATCTCTGACACGGATTTAGATTCTGTACTGCTTTGAGGTATGCTAGTTATGCAACCTAATTTTACAAAATGGCTCTGTGTTTGTACTTCCCTGGAGCTTCAGTTTAGATGTCATCTATCATTTTAGCACCGTGATTGATTACTCTCTGCTGTTTAATCTATCTGCTGCAGCTTCTCAGATTTTTCTTCAATTGGTAAACACATACTTTCCTGAACACATTTTCAAGTGATGTGTTTTCCAAGTGCCCCAGAAGTCATGTAATCATATTTTTCTCAGCTAGGATTTTAACTATTTCAGCCATTCAATGGTTTTAATAAATTTATTGGCTGATATTTTATGTATTACTTGGAAGTTTTGCGTTGTATTTTCCATTTTTCAGTGTTATTGCACGTGTTTAGTCTGAAATACAAGTGTTTTTATCAACTGCTTCCTTGTTCCAGCAAAAACCAGTAAAAGAAATAAGCACACTTTTTAAGCATAGGAGCCAAATGCAGGGGCTGCTGCTGCATTAGACTTTAACAGCCTTTGCGCATTAGGTTTCAAAAGCAAAATACTTACTAGATTATTTTGCTGGTTGGAATTTCACAAGCCAGCTTCAGTCAGTAGGGTTAGCGTGTGCTTGTTTTCTTGTCTTGTATACTGTGTTCCTGTACTGTAATTTGCTATCTTTAGACTTTACATTGAATATCAACTTGGCTATGGCTGTAAATCAGACTTTTTCACCAAGTTTCCACTTTAAAAAGGGTTGCGTTTTTCTGCATTAAGTCATATTATGTATACAAATGGCAGCATTTTTACACAGTTACTGGGGTAACTTCCAGGAAGCTATTATAATGAACTGTTTCTATGATCCACGTATCAAAGAGATTTTAATACCAAATTTCTTTTTTCTGCACAATTTTCATTATGGATCTATGTTATTTGTGTTTATGAATTGGGAGGTTGGTAATTTGTTTGGATTTTTTTACTTTTTAGTTACTGACTTCATTTAATATTTGTGATTAAAATCTCTCAGTAAGAAAAATTGTACTGTGTCATCATAATGCAGCTTTGCTGACGTTAGTAACTGCTATTGCAGTCCTGTCTCTAAATACAATCAGACAAAATGAATAGACATCTGCAGTGCTGCGTGCTTTTTGGAAGTGGTTTGGTGTTCTTTTTTGTGAGAGCGGGCTTTAATCAGCACTTGCCTTTGTTTTGGAATTCTTAATCTCTTTGCACAATCCTCTTTTAGAGACTGCCAGGTTAGCTTTGGATATATATCTTTGTAATTCCTGGTAGGTGGATTCCAGCCCACATTTTCTTAGAGAATCAGAGACAGCCAGTTCTGTCACTGTTCTGTTATTGTCCTTGTAATGACTCACACTTCAATTAGGAACTTCGAGGACAGAATTTCTTGTCAGCCCTGCTATTTTTCATTTATGGTGCGTGAAGGTTAAATCAAAAGATAGCTAATGTGATTACGTATATACAGGTTAAGGTGACTTCTCAGTATGGAGTTGGTGGAAGCTAAGGAACACTATTTGGCAGGTTTGGATCCTCTCCAGCTATGAGTCTGTTGCCTTCTTTTATTGTTTTGCACTATAAATCTTACTTTGAAGACATAACATACAGCCATCATAAATGTCACATCTTGACAGCTTTTCTTATGCAAATGAAACTAATTCAA